GATTATTCGATTTAAAAACTAATAGTGATTCAAAATCAAGTTCAACTAAAGATAATAAAAATGGTTTACTCTTTCAATTTCAAATTCCACTTTTAACATAACCAATGTTGGCCGTTAAGCGTTACTTCACAAATAGAACACGTCTAACAGAAATTTCTCTTACTTGCTAATTTCCTATCTCTATTTCTTCATACAAATATGAAATCATTCCAGTGGATATGGCACATAAACAGGATCAAGCAAGATACGTCCTTGTAGTATGTAACTACATCATCAGGAGTAAAAAACTATGTGATAAGAGGATAATTTTATAAAGCAAAGGTTTAACTCGTTGTAATCTGTGAGGGTGTTATGAGTATTGTACATAAGAAGTCAATATTTCTTTCCAAAATTGTGCATTATTGCCAGCTAACCCTCCATCTCTATTTAACAAAAAGTATTTATTATAGAGCACAACATTTCTATTGATTCTCTAATATTTAAATCACTTTAGATTCATTTGAAATTATTGTTTCGTACCATTGTATTGAATGATCTGTTTCAACAATGTGCTCAATAAGAGACGAAATTAGCTCTTCTTTTTTTTTTTTTTTTTAGGTCCGCACATAACCTCTATGTTTAGTAAGACGATATTTCAAGTTACGTTTAGATTGGCCAATATATTTTTTGCTGCGTTCACACCTAATTTGATATATACCCTTTTTTCTCTAAAATGTCTTTTTTATCTTTGATGCTAGGAAGTATTGTTTTAATTTTGTTAAATGGTTTAAAATTTAGAATAAAATATTTTTTTCTGAATACATTGGCAATTGGGCTAGTTATACCTTGTATATGTGATAATACTACTGTACTGATAATTTTATTATCATAGACATTGTTTAATCTAGTGCATTGCTTGATAAAAATTGAATGGTATTTTCTTTGTATTATACGTTCAACTATATCAACATTATAACCTCTGTCGTTAGCAATGCTTTTTATATAATTTAATTCGTTTTCCAAATTAGTAGAATCAGAAAAAATTTAAATGCACTGTCTGTATAAGTATGAAAAGCTGCTAATTCTTGAGAAAATGGGTGACATGATTTTTGATGTGGCGGCATGGAGACTGAATATGTTCTCCGATAAACAGTTGTGGAAATAGTTCCATTATAATTTATTTTAACAAGTACATCTAAAAAAGTAAACAATTATCTTTGTATTAAGCAATTTATTTAGACTATCACCACGTTTTTTAGTTGTTTTTTTACTGCAAAAGCGTTCAGCTCAATTACCTAAGCCTTATATAGGTGCGAGACGTAAACAATAGGATCTAATTTGCCTAGCAACAACGAAAAAACAAGAACGTGCCCTAATTTTTTTCGTTTTTGCTAGACAACTTGTGATTCGAATTGTTCCGTTAGATCATGTTGTTTACTAAACGTCTCGCACCTTTATAAGGCTTAGGTAATTGAGCCGAAAGCTTGTGAATTAATAAAAACTAAAAAACGTGGTAATAGTCCAAATAAACTACTTAATACAAATAAGAGTACTCACATTGAAAGCCTGAAAGTTACTTAAACAATTATCTTGTTCAATCTTATACGTAAACTGAATTAACTTAGAAGGATCAACATGGTTTGGATAATCAGCAAATGTTTTTAACTCAATATCTTCATGCCGTCAAACCAAGAAAGTGTCTTCAACAAATCTAATCATGTTTTAAAAAAGCATTATCAAGAGCAATACGTTCGAAGCTATCCATATAAAGGCCGCATAGGAGTGAAGAAAGAGAGGAACCCATGGCTAATCCAATATTCTGCTCATAATACTTTTCATTGACTTTGAAAAAATAATTTTCAACACACACTTTAGTTAAATAAAAAATGTCAACAATTTTGATTGGAGAAATGAAAGCAATTAATAGTACCTTCCACCGGGACTTTAGTAAACAATGAAACTACATCAAAGAAAAAAAAAGATACCTACTTATCAGAAGAATTAAGTTTAATGTTCTTATTTTTCTTGCCCCTCCCCCCAGTGGCACAGCGGTATATCTGTGGACTTTTATTGCTAGAAACTGGGTTTTGATACCCGTGGAGGGCAGAGTACAGATAGCCCTTTGTGTAAATTACACTTTTCGAGATAAAACACCTTAAAACTTTAAGTTTTATTTAATGGCGACGTTTCGAGCAAATGCTCTTTTTCCAGGCAGAACACAGATAGTGACGAACTACTGCAGAATGTTTTGAAAGTGAACAATACACGAGAAATAAACAATATAGTGTTGACAATGTAACAAGTCTAAAGAAAATAGTGACGAAATAATGAAGGAAATATATAATTATACAAATATATAATTAAACGGTTAATATCGGAAAGTTTAAAAAACTATTAAAAATCATTTAAAAAAGAAAGAAAGAAAATTAATGTTAAAATTTATAAAAAACTGAAACGTTCGTTGATACTAGAGGGACTTATACAGCCTAATTTGAAAATGATTTCTTTTTCAATTCTGATTCTTTTAATGGTGTTGGAGGGGGCATGTCTTAGGGCAGTTACTCTGAAATTAAGGATGGAATGATTCGCTTTGTTAAAGTGTCGAGCTACAGGTTTATCTAGATCTTTAATCAAAATGCTACGCAAGTGTTCTCGTGTGCGTTCAGAGAGCATACGGCTGGTTTCTCCTATGTAGATGTGGTCACAGTAGTTACAAATAAAACAATAAATTAAACATGTAGAGGTACATGTGAAATGGCTATTAACAGTATAGGTTGACTTAGGGCCCTTAACAGATGTTCTATGATCGATGTAATGGCAAGTGTTGTATCTGCTTCTCTGGCAATTGTACGTACCAATTTCTGTGTGACATGGTTGTTGTATGTTGTTCAGAAGTTGACTGTGGACGAGTAAAATTTTAATGTGTAGCCCTTTGTGTAGCTTTGTGTTCAACAACACCATTTAATTTACTCAACAA